TGGCAACCCACTGCAGCAGAGGCTGCAGCCTACGCCGTCACAGGTGACTCATGGCAGCCCAGCTCCAGGTTGAGCTGTTGTTCAGCACCCAGGCTGCAGAGGGCAGTGTCACTGGCCCTCATATGTGGGATCCGAACCGGAGTCCTCTGGCATCCCAAGCCAGCTCTTAACCACCGTGCCACTCGGCCGGCCCCAGAGTCACTACTTTCTTACAGGAACTGTTCCACCAGGTGACCAAACCAAACCCACAGAGCAGAAGCTCCCCCTCACCTTTTGTTGTGGCTAAAAGGTGAAAAGCAAGGATAGACTATTGCCTTCTGCAACAGCTAGAGCAATAACGGGTGTGGGCATCAAGCACGAAAGGCCTTTGGCATCAGAACAGAGCTGGGCCTGGACGTGTGGCTACGGGTGGAAGCAGGCCGCATAGCCTGGTCCGTGGAGCTCATGCTGGGCCCTGGGTGCGGAGCTGGCATTACAGGACCCTCAAAGGGAAGGGGAGACAGCAGCCTTTCAGCGGGGCAGTCAGAAGGGGTGGGGGTGGGGTTACAGGTGAAGAGTGACTATGAAGACATACCCAGCAGGCAGAGCTCACCTGAGAGTGTCTAAGGGCACACTGGTGTGGTCAGCTCTAAGACAAGTCCAGGTGGTGCAGATGCGCCTTGTGTGCTTTACAAGGAGGGAGGGCTGTGCACATGTGGCGTCTTCTGAGGGCTGTTTACAAGGTATTCACCTTGTCAGCTCACCAGGTATACACATACTTGTGTGCCTTTTTGTGTAACTTTTATTTTACAATTAAAATTTTTTTAAACTTCAGAGGTCATTAGCATTCAATTTTTGATTAAACTACTAATTTGTTACTTCATTTCCCTTTTTGTTACTTCATGCTCCCTTTTGTTTGGAGGAATTGCTTTTCTAAGGTTCGATGTAACTTCTCTTTTTAATTATGTAAAACGCGTGATTTCAAAGTGAGCAGTATCAAACAGGATGCATTCAGAAAGTTGCAGCTTCTGTCCCCGTTCGCGTCCTGCGTCTTGGTGTCATCCCAGCGTGCGCACTCCCACACTCTCTTCCCCTCCACCCTGGGTCTTAGAGAGAAGGCATGTTCTCCACATGGGTTCCATCTTCTTTCTTCCTTTAAGAATCCATAGCCTGGAGATCTTTCATTGGATATGAGGTCTTTCCCATGTCTCCCTTTCTTTTTTTCTTTTTTTTTACTGCTGCATGTGCTCCCTTCAGTCAGTTGGTTTTTCTCATCATGTTCCCAACTGTCTGTTATTATAAATAACGTTGCATGTTTGTCTTCTGTGTATGGCATCATGTACATATAAAACGTGGTATTCTGCCTTAAGATAGGTTGCCAGAAGTGCTGTGATTGCATGGCCAAAGGGTAAATGGAGTTGTGTAAGGTAAGATTTTCTCATGGTAAGATTTAGGGGTGTCAGTATGATAATAGCTTGTAGCAGGGTTTTCGTATTTTCGCTGCTGAACACGTGTTTTATGATGTACATCAGATATTTTGTTAGCAAAGTTATATCACATTTTTGGATATTTTTGAGTCTTATTGTTTTGTTATCAAACATGAATTAAAGGTAGAAATAATCAGTGTAGTCTTTCTAAAATGAAGCACAATTAATATTAAACCTTAATAGGCAAGAACACTACATAGGAGGTAAGTGATTAAACAGTTCATGACTATATCTTTTCAAACTGAGCAAACTCATTTTGTGAATCAAATAAAGGCTTTTAAGGATTTTTGTTGATGGGAATCTCTAGATATATCATATCTGAATCCCACTGTGCCATGGAATTTTCATTTTTAAGTCCCATAACTCAGGAGTTTTTCTCCTTAATTCCCAGGTTCGTGTTTTATTCGAACTGATCAACTAGATGGTGAAACCGACTGGAAGCTGAAGGTGGCGGTGAGCTGCACACAGAGGCTGCCCGCTTTGGGGGTGAGCGTCGCAATCACTGCATCTGGTGATTTTTAGTAGTCGTTTCTGTGTAGTAAGGACGGTTCTGTTTATACCAATTAACTGATTTAATGCATTGATCATTTTAAAAAATAATTTATTACTAATGAAGGATCATTGAAAATTATGCCAAAATAATTCTGTAGTATCTTTGCACATAACCTGTGCAGGTGTAGTTTCGAATGTTCCTATTGGCCTGACAAACTTAGGTTTTCTTGTTTTTCTTTCCCTTTCCTTTTTGTTTTTATTTTTAAACCCTCTCAGTTGAGCACTCTTGAAAATGGAGATTTAGGTGAGGGTTAGATGAGTCCGTTGCTGCTGACTTACTTCCGGAGAGACGGGCGCAGACACTGCTCTGCGATGGAACCGGCTGGGCCTCGCCTGGTCCGGGAGCCCAGCCCTGCTCTCCAGCCTTGACCTCTGAGCTTGGCTTTGCCTGGAAAGGGTTACTGGTCCTGCGCTCAGTTTCCCGTTAGTTGCCGTGAATAGCAGGAGCCGACCGCGCTCTTCTGTAGGCTGGGCTTTTCAGCAACTGCACACGTTTGACGTGTGTAAGACTTGGAAACATTAGATTCTTTACGGTGCTTTCGGTGGCCTGTACTTTAGGTAGTCCGAAGGTTGTATCTTTTCCAAAACCCGTTGGTCACTACTGAGAGTTTGCTTATTCTTTCTTTTGTCTATTTATTTATTATCACATAATGATGTGATCCACATAATGTATCTGTTGCAGACACACCATTGTATTTCCTTCCCACCTTTTGCAACGCTATGAAAACAAACAACAACAACAACAAAAAAGAGCGTTCTTGCCCCGAGTGTCACACAGGTTGCTAGATTTGAACCACAGGGCCCAGTTTCCTGACCCCGGAGCTGGAGAATGACCCCTCTCAGCTGATCAGCCAACCTGTGTGCCTTTCGAGGGCAGGAACGAGGAGGCAACTCCTAGTTTTTGTTTATTTTTTAATATGTAAACATTAAGAGAACGCATATAAGAGCAAGTCTTTATTTTTCTTCAGATGAACTGTTAAAAGTAGAATTGGGGGAGTGAAACAATGTCCACAATTTCAGGCATCTGGTATATACGTACTGGGGGTGCTAAGAAAATGTATACAAGTGGACACTTTGGTCAGCGTTGCTCAAGCAGTACTTCGCCATAATCAGAAGTGTCTGGAACCTGATGGTAACCACTTTGAGCACCTATTATAATTGCAGAAGTCAAATGTGACTTATATTCCTCTCATGTTATTGGTATATATTGAGTATTACAATTTTAATACAGTTTTCCTTTCTTAAAATGTGTATACATTTTTTTGGCACCTTCTGTACAAGGTCTGACAATTAAGTTCGCAAACTTGTAGCAACAATGTTGCTAACCTTTTTTGATATCAGAGGGATTATTTATTATGAATTTGTACCAACTGGACAAACAGTTAACCAAGTTTACTATTTGGAAGTGCTGAAAAGGCTGCGTGAAAAAAGTTAGACGACCTGAACTCTTTGCCAACAATGCATGGCTCTTGCATCACGACAATGCAGCAGCTCACACGGCACTGTCTGTGAGGGAGTTTTTAGCCAGGAAACAAATAACTGTATTGGAACACCCTCCATACTCACCTGATCTGGCCCCCAATGACTTCTTCCTTTACCCGAAGATAAAGGAAATATTGAAAGGAAGACATTTTGATGACATTCAGGACAACAAGGGTAATACGATTACAGCTCTGATAGTCATTCCAGAAAAAGAGTTCCAAAATTGATTTGCAAGGTGGACTAGGCGCTGGCGTCGGTGCATAGCTTCCCAAGGAGAGTACTTGGAAGGTGACCGTAGTGATAATCAGCAATGAGGTGTGTGGCACTTTCTCTAGGATGAGTTCACAAACTTAACTGTCTGACCTCATATTATCAGAGAAGCGTTGTGCAAACCATCTTAACAAGCAGCAGTGTGTGATTATTAGGTAAACATGTCTGAAAACATTCAGAGTAAGTACTGAAGAAAAATCTCAGTTTGATGGAGAACATTTGGACAGTTCGTTGTTCTAATTTGCACTTTGGTCACTGCTGCTGTCGAAACTCCCCACTGTGTGTTTCTTGGTGATGTGTTTCTTATCGGTTGTTTGCCCTCTCCTTTGCCCAGTTTTGTACTCAAGTTTGCCAATTAAAAAGTACATTTGTGTTCATGTGTGTGTACAGTATCAAACTGATAAGACCAGATATAGGCAGACTTGTATTCTGTTTTTCATCCTCCCCTCCTTAGACACAAAAATACGCCTGTTTTATGTCGGTGTATCTTGTAGTCTCCCATCTGTCCCCAGTTCAGACGTTACTGCTGACAATTGCCCGAGCTGCTGTCCTGGATCCGAGTTTCTCAGTCAAAGCCAGGAGCACTCGCAGCATTCTGCCGTGGTTTCTTTACACTCTGTGGGACCCTGTGTATAATTCATATGGTTGGGTTAGCACTGTTTTGGGTGGTGATGAGTGAGGGAAGGCAGGTTCTATTGGACCCGCTGATGAAGGCAGCAGAGAGGCTGATGTTGGCGTTGACTCTCGCACACTGACCACCTGACCTTTACACCTTCTCAGGGTCAGGAACAACTGGGCGGCTAGGGAGTTGTTAGGTCACAAGTCAGGGCTGCAGAGCTTGTCCCCTGGGCGTGTGGGGGAAGGAGTCTGCAGGAGCCGCCCACCGGCCTGTGTGAGGCGGGCCCTTTCTCCACGCCTTGCCGCTCGCTGCAGGGTGTTGGCATTGCTTTTACTGGTGTGATTTTGTAGGTGTGTAGGGATATCTCGTTTGGTTTGCTTTTCTGTGAGGCTTGATAATAACCAAACGTTGTTTCATGTGCTTCTCTGCCATCTGCATGTCCACTTTGGGGAAATGTCTGTTCATGTCTCTTCAGTGGCTTCAGTGTAATGTTCTTCCTACGTGGTCATGTCATGTGCAGAGCACAGGGAGCCCCCTTATTCCGGCCTGTACCTCAGCCTTCTCTTTCCACGACTTGCAGTGTTACCCTGGCAGAGATCGCTGATGCTGCGTTGAGTAGAAGTGGAGAAGCCATTCATCCTCGTCTTGTTTCCAGTCTGGGGGAACAGTCAGCCTTTGAGCGTTACGTGTGATGACAGCTGTAGGTTTTTCCTCGGTTCCCCTTCTCAGGGTGAGGAAAGGCTTTCTGTTCCCAATTTGCTGAGAGGTTTAGCGGGAATGGGTGGTGGATTTGTCAAAGGCTTTTCTGTTTCTGCTGAGGTGATCATATGTTTTTCTCCGTCATCTATGTGATGATTTATATGGGCCGACTGTATGCCAGCCCTCTGTTCCTGGGGTCACCAAACCCCGTTTGGTCCTGCTCAGTGTCCTTATCACGTACTGCAGGGTTCGACTGGCTTCTATTTTGTGCAGGATTTTTGCGCCTCTGTTCATGAGAGATATTTGTCTGTATTGCGTTTGTTGTAATTGGTTTGATATCTGGGGGAATGCTGGCCTCATTAAATAAGATGGGAAGTCTCTTCACTTCCTGTATTTTTTTTAAGTATTTGGTATAAGAGGGGTGTTATTCCTTTTTTAAATAAATTGAACAAATTCACCCTTGAAACTATCTTGGGCAGGCGTTTACTTTGTGGGAAATTGTCAGTTAACTTTCTGAGTTAGATAATAGAGTTAATCAAATTTTCTGTTCATTGGAAATTTGTGTTTTTCAATGAATTTATCCATTTCATATAAGCTGCCAAATTTAATACCATATAATTTATAATATTTGATTATTTATTTTTGTGGTTGAGGTTTCCTTTTTTATTCTTAATATTGGTAGTTTCCATCTCTTTTCTTCTTGGTCAGTCTAGCCAGAGGTTCATCAATTTTAGTGATCATTTCAAAGAACTTGCTTTTGGTTTCGTTGCTTATTGTCTGTTCATTTTCTGTGTTGCTGATTTCTGTTGTGATCTTCATTTCCTTCTTTCTACTTAATTTGTTTCTGATTTTCTTTTCTTGCTTAACTCCTTAAAGTAGAAGTTAGACTTTTGATTTTATACTTGACTCTTTTCTGTTACAAGCTTTTAGAGCTATAAATCTCCTTCTGAGCATTACCTAACCTGTATCACAAATTTTTACATACTGTTAACAATGTTATCTAATTCCTTTATGATTTCTTCTTTCACCCCTCATTTACTTGGACATATATTGTTTATTTACCAAATAGTTGGGGATTTTCCTAATGTCTCTTCTAGTTTATTTGTCATTTCATTCTGTTATGTTCAGAGTGTATTCAGTTCTACTTCAGTTCTTTCCTACAAACTGACTTATGATTCGGCCCTACATGGGGTCTCTCTGGGCCCGTGTTTTGTGTGTGCTCAGAAAATGTTTTTCATGTGTCATCACCTTATTACTAAAGACATCTAGCTTACACTTTTCATACTGTTTGTTCAAATAATTAGTCTTTGTCATGAGCCGCTCTTGCAGCACGTTGACTTCTGATGTGAATTGAGCCGGTTGTTGGGTTAGGGCCCCAGTGCTTGGTTGCATATTTGTGTCCTTTTTCTTTTCTCTAGAAAGCATCCTCAAGTAATCTCTCCAGGATGAAAACGGGAGGTAACGGTGATGAATCCTAAACGACTGGGAGGATATCTGTTGGCTGTCATGCTTGGACGGTGGCCCCACCTCTGAGCATCACTTCCGAGAATTCTGGAGGCCGGGCTAGACACCTGGAAGCACTTCCCTGAATAATCATTGGTAGTAGATGTGGCTTTGCTAAGAGAGGTATCGGAGAAAGTGCAGAGTTAAGCCATTGTATCAGAGAGGATTTGTCTCACAGCAAAGCTAACACAAGGCAGACACACAAGAGCTTGTAGCAGATGCTTGCACGGGTACAGAATTCTGGGAGAATGGGGCCCAGAGTGGGAGGGGCCCTCCCCAGGGGAGGGTGATAGAGATGTTCCACACCTTGATGGTGGCGATGACATGGGTGTATACACGTATTCAGGTGCATAAAATTGTA